AAGTAAAAAAAATGATCCCACTAGCCATGTCCAAAAATGTATTTCTCATCCTATATCTTGAGCCTGTCATCTTTCTGTCAAGAGGTAAGTGGCATGGTTCTTCATCAATCCTCTGAAACTTATCAGAGTTTTTAAGTCTCTTTATAATGTTGTTATTGTATAAGTTGCTCTGGTTCTGCTCACTCCATTCTGCATCAATTCATGCAGTCTTCTCAGATTCCTCCAAGCCAATCCCATTCATCATTTCTAATAGCACAATAATATTGTATTACATTCATAAACCATAATTTGTTCAATCATTTCCCAATTGATGGACATCTCCTTTGTTTCCAATTCTTAACTGCTATACATAGTTTAGTACTCCTTTGGGATTTTAAAAATATTTAGACTCTTTCCCTCTTTCTTTGATCCTCTTTTCTTCTTTCGAAATCATCCAAACATATCCGAGTCATTCCTAGGCCTTTTGTCTAATTATGTTCCCTCTATGACTTCTGATAATGATAGAGTTCTGAGGGACTACACATGTTATTTCTGCATATAACAATGTAAACAGTTAAACCTTGTTTGTTCCTTTATGATTGCTGGCTCATGTTTATCTTTGCATGCTTCTGATGACTACTTTCAAATTTTCTACTTAGAAATCTAATCTTTAGGAAATGCTTGGAAGTCCTCTGTTTCATTAAAGGTATACTTTTTTTTAATTTAAAAAATTTTTTTTAAATTTTTAGGCAATTAGGGTTAAGTGACTTGCCCAGGGTCACACAGCTAGTTAAGTGTCAAGTGTTTGGTCTGAGGCCGGATTTGAACTCAGGTCCTCCTGACTTCAGGACCGGTGCTCTATCCACTGCACCACCTAGCTGCCCCAAAGGTATGCTTCTTTACCCCAGTAGGATTATACTTGTTTTTGCTGGCTAGGTTGTCCTTGTTTGTAATACTAACTCCTTTGCCTTCTGGAATATTATATTCCAAGCTCTTTGCTTCTTTATAGTAGTGGCTGCTAAATCTTATGTGATCCTGATTATTGCTCCTTTGTACTTAAATTCTATCGTTCTGGCTGCTTGTAGAATTTTTTCTCTGACCTGATCTCTCTGGATTTTGGCTAAAACGTTCAGGAGTTTTAAATTTGGGATTTTTTTTTTCATGAAATGACTGGTATATTCTTTTAATTTCTACTTTACCCGCTGGTTGGTTCTAAGATATCTGGGCAATTTTCTTTTATGATTTCTTGAAATATTATGTCTAGGCTTTTTTTTTTTTGATTGTTGTTGTTTGTGACTTTTGAGTAGTCCTATGATTGTTAGAATTTTCTCTCTTTGAGATCCCCAAAGGAAAACTCCTAGGAATATTGTAGCCAAGTTCCAGAGTTCCCAGGTCAAGGAGAAAATATTACAAGCAGCCAGAAGGAAACAATTCAAGTATTGGGGAAACACAATCAGGATAACACAAGATTTAGCAGCTTCTACATTAAGGGACTGCAGGGCATGGAATATGATATTCCAGAGGGCAAATAGATAGGATTACAACCAAGAATCTCCTACCCAGCAAAACTGGGTATAATCCTTCAGGGGGGGAAATGGTCATTTAGTGAAATAGAGGACTTTCAAGCATTCTTGATAAAAAGACCAGAGCTGAATAGAAAATTTGACTTTTCAATACAAGACTCAAGTGTAACATGAAGAGGTAAACAGGAAAGAGAAGTCGTAAGAGACTTATTAAGGTTGAACTGTTTACATTCCTGCATGGAAAGATGGTATTTGTAATTCCTGAGACTTTTGTCAGTATTAGGGTAGTTAGAGGGAAAAAATTATATGTGTGTATATATATATATATATATAGATAGATAGAGGAACAGAGTGAGTTGAAGATGAAAGGGTGATATCTGGAGAATAAAATTAAGGGGTGAAAGAGTATTACACTCACAAGGACAAAGGAAGAGGTAGAATGGGGTAAATTATCTCACATAAAACAGACAAGAAAAGGCTCTTACAGTGGAGGGGAAACAGGGGAAGGTGAGAGGGAGTGAGTGAATCTTATTCTCATAGGATTTGACTTAAGGAGGGTTACATACACACTCAATTCGGTATGGAAATCTGTCTTACCCTACAGGAAAATAGGAGGGGAAGGGGACAAGAGAGTAGGGGGATGATAGAGAGGAGGGAAGATTGGGAAAGGGGGTAATCAGAAGCAAATGCTTCTGAGGAGGGACAGGGTCAAAAGAAAGAATA